CAATTGTTTGAGAAGGTTCAGCAGTCTGTGGACCAGATCAAAGCCTCCCACCGCCAGCACATGTCCAAGCTTCGCAAGAGGAAGCCTGAAGAGACTTCCGTCCAGCCAGCTGAGAAGATCGCACGAGGCAACAGCCCCGCTGGAGCTCGGCCACCACAGGAGCTGGGAGATGCAGCAGATGGCGTTCATGAGGATTCCGCCAGTGGGGGCGGAAGTGCAGCCAGCAGCCTTTCAGGAGACCACGGGGGAGCTCATGAGGCTGAAGCGGCCCCGCATCCTGACGTTCGGCAGCTCGCACAGGAGCTGCTCGCCAACAGGATGCAGCCTGGGCCGCCTTCTCAAACGACCCCCCCCGACGCCTAATGCTCACGTGAGCAGCGTGTCGGGGGGTGACTTTTTGCACGTTTCACCTTCTATCGCCAGGCTGTGCCGCGTCCCCGCCCCCAAGGCTCCGTCCTTGAATTGTGGCAGTTGTCTCTGGGCCCCAGCTTGCTCGGATCTCGACAGTTTTGACTTGGTCGTGGAGACAGCTAACTGCACGGGTTGGAATGCGGCGAAAGCGTGGTTGAGTCGTACGACGGCTCATGTGGTGCTTGTTCAAGAACATCATCTTCTGGGTGATCAGGTTGGCGAGGCCTCTCAATGGGGCCTCCGCTCAGGCTGGAAGTCCAGGTTCGTCCCAGCGGCCCCAGGCATAGGGCTCGGGACCTCTGGAGGAGTGGGCATCTTCGTCAGGGACTTCTTGGGCTGTCATGACGTCTCGCCAAAGGTGGGCCCCACTCTGGTTCCTCATCGTGCTGCCTCAACTATTGTTCAGATCCCAGGCGGAGTCTCTATCCTTGTGGTCTCCGCGTATCTCAGGGACTCCGAGGGCCTCTCCGAGTCCAATCTGGGTATCTTGTGCAAGCTTGGTGCTGAATTATCCTATTTTCCTGGTCCGTTCATCTTGGGTGCGGACTTCCAGATGGATCCTGATGTTCTGGCTTCATGCGATTTGGTCTCGGTGCTCAGTGCCAACCTGGTCGTGCCTGAATCCAAGGGCACTTGCACGGGCGCGAGCAAGGAAGGAGTCCGCATGCTCGATTATTTCTTGGTTTCCCGCGGGCCCTCGCAGGCCGCGCAGGCCACCCGTGTCTGCTTGGAGGCGGCCACCAAGCCGCACAAGCCCGTGCAGTTGAGCTTCTTCCCTCAGCTGGCCAGTTTGCAGGCTTTGGGGTTGGTTAACCCTCCCCCCATCCCGATTCAGCCCCCTATTGGCCCTGCCCCTGCCCCTCAGGACTGGAAGGATGTTTTAGACTGTGCGTCTTATGGATTGGGGTTGGTTCGTAACCGTGCCCCCAGACAGCGTTTGCAGCGTCACCTTAATATGTTATATAAACTTTGGGCTAACACGGCGGAGAGAGAGTTGGCCGCTAATCGTCAGTGTTCACTTCCTGTTTTAGGCACCCGTGGTAGGTTGCCCAAGCTTGCATGGCGCTCTGTTTTGGATAAGGATAGGCGCACTTCTCGTCAGCCTGAGTTGTACGGAGCTCGATGTTTGGAGAGCACCCTGCGCATTTTCTGCTCGAACCTCGGCTGCGACGTGAAGGGCTCGCCCCTCGACTCTGGCAACTTCCTCCTCCACCCCCCCGACATCATAGCCGACAGCATGGGGGTCTGCCAGGGCAGCTGGGATAAGGTGCAACATTCCGTTCAACGATGCATGAGATATAATCCCCCCTCTTGCCGCGGGAAAAGCAACCTATTCAACTCGACCAAGGGCGACAGTTCAACTGGTTGTATTCCTCAAGATGATCCTGTCGGGGCCGAAGTTTTAGAAGGTTTGATTGTTGAT